TTTTATTCTGATTTTCTTGGAGTTGTTCTTTGGTTTTTGTTTTTGTGTTTTTTGGGCGCGTTCCGTTGACAAAGCGGCTACGTATATATGATTTATCTTCTCATGTTTTTTTTTTATCGGATATTCTCTGTACTAAAGTTTTCTTCTTCTTCAAAAAAAAAATCGAATGTTGTTCTTTAAACGATTCTAAGTACATATATAGTTGTAATCACTGCTTAAATTTAGAGTCGATCATTTTCGCTAGCGGCACCAGTGTGCGCCTGTCTATGCGATTCTCATGAAATGACATGGCATAGCATTCGCCTTTTAACCTAGACCGTGTTAAGACCCTATGCCTTGGCATCGGCTTTTGGCTTTTGTTAGTATTTTGCCTAAGTGCTTATCAACTAAATTCAGTTATCGTACATAACTATCGATAAGCGACTATCGTCAATCGACTGTTAGCGTTATCTTTATCATTATCATATTGCACAACGGTATTCGATCTATCATAGTTGAGTTTTCCGTTAAGTTTTCTTTGTATGCGTGTGTGTGTGTGTGTGTGTGTGTATTTATATATATGTGTATGTGTGTGCGTTTTAGTGTTTCAAAATGTTCAAATGTTGGAAGTTCTTTAGTTGCTTTTCCGAACTTTTGAGTAAACATATATATATATATCTGTTGAAATTAGTTGTAAATGCATTTCATGCTTAGTTTATGATTTTCATTGTTGTCTTCAACCTCGCTCTTTTTTTCCCTCCGTGTATATTTGTGCTTTACGTGTGCGCGTGTGTGTGTCTCTGTATTCCCTTTCATCCAATCATCGTTCGCTGCTTGGCCTCATCTTCCTCTTTAAAATGTACTACTATCCTTTAGCTATATATTTAGGTAATTGTATAGCGTACACTTATGTGTGTACACTGTAATTCCTGTGACCGAGTTGCTTTGTACAGCTGCGCACATACCCAGCGAAAGGCATTTCAGAATACGTAAAATGTTGGAAGTTCTTCTTAAGCTCTTTGCTTTCTATCCGATAACGTATTCGAAAAGAAAGATTTGAAACCCATCAATTCTCTAGCTAAACGAGAAGATATTTAAAAATCAATACAGAAATTGAGGACTCTCCTCTTTTTCATTACAGAGATATCGAGATATCTCCTACATTCAACTAAATTTCCAAAATGACTGGGCTAAGTTCGCAGTGCTAATAGTGGATTTAATTCTCGCCTTTTCTCTTCTTCTTCATTGTTTCCAGAGCCAACTCGAGTCACATTTTAATATTGCTTTCTTGAATAAAATGGCGCAGAGCCGATCTGGCCGCTGGCTAATGAGTTGGATATTATTATGTATATATATATACATATAGTGTGTATATATGTGTATATATGTATTATCTATTTGGTATTAAATGTGATTAAATCCATTAAGTTCTATGCACATCGAGTGGAGTAGGTTAATGTTTTATTTAATGTACTTTCTTGTCGGCTTCTTGACACACACACACATACATACATTTAAGTGGGTAGCTGCTATCGATTATCGTTTATCGAATACCTTTTTCTTTTTCATTATCTCTTTAGGTTTTTCCAATTTCATGTGGTATTTTTTAAATGTATTTCACATTTCATTTCATTCCTTTTTTCGCTTTCTTCAACTTTTGTATATATATAAAGAGAGTGAGATACATAT